ATCAGATGTTAGAAGAAAGACATTAATGAAATGTAACACATTTAAGAAATTTGGAAAACATCAAATAGAGTTAAGGCCTCAAAATTTTTTGAGAATTGAACACAACTGAGTAGGTCATAAAACATCAAAAATAACAACACAATTCAATCCTAAAAAAAAAAAAAACTACCACTAATTGGACATTAGGTATTTCATAACAGAGTTGACAATACCGAATCAGAACTAATAATACAGAGAACTTCATTTTGTATAACAGCACTTCAGCATCATTCATCTCCAGCTACCAACAATATAGAGAACATGCTGAACGGCTCTCCATACTCAAAATAACTCACATGAAGATACTATAGGCCACTGATGAACTGAAATACATCTAAAAATTTGTTCTTAAAAAGAAAGAAAAAAAATCATTTAAATGCAGGTGTGTTAGCATATGCCTATAGTCCCAGCTACTCAGGAGGCTGAGACAGGAGGATCCCCTGAGCCCAAGAGTTTGAGATCATCTTGAGCGACATAGGGAGACCCTGTCTCTTTACCAAAAAATACGGGGGGGGAGGGGGGGAGAAAAGAAGGGAAAAGGGAAAAGGAAAGGAAAGTTGTATGTTAAACCTTAAGCTGTCACCAGCAACTCAGCTAAAAACTAAACTGAATTTTGTTTAAGTAAATCTAAGATAAACATACAGAATGGGGATATTAAGTAATTTTATCTATGGATGCTAGAAAGAAACCAATGTGTCAAAGATACTATAATTTTTAAGCAGTTTTATCAACTTCACCTACAGACAATTCTGACATGGAAATAGCAAGATACAATTATCGACAGAGTCATCATCGCGTGAACACAGTATTTAAGAAAGAGGTGTTCTGTGAGTATTTTTACACAGATAGAAAAGGTTTCATTCTTGTTATTATAAACCAAAGAAACAAAAACTTTCCTCTATATTTTGTACTATCATAAAGACTTCATATTTGGTACTTTAAGACTTCATATTTTCCATAAAGGACAAGAGGCAACATTAAATTGATTACATGTCACAGTCCACTAACAACAGAACTGGATTTGGGCTAGGTTGCACTGAATTTAAACACATTTCTCAGTAATTAACATTTCTTGTAGAATCTGGAGATTAGTAATACTACAAGAAGGAATTTAAGTAGAACAACATTTCCAAAAGTGTATTTTTCAGACCTGATATTTCGTAAGTTAATTAGGTTCTATTAAACAGAAAAGAAATGCTGGGCTAAACTTATTTCTTTACTGTTAGTCTTACTGGAGCCTGTAATATGCAAATACGCCACGTGATTTATTTTGGAGACAAGGTATTTGCAGAATTTTTCCAAACTCACTTGACTACAGAACTCTTCCAACCTAATACGCTGGGAAATACTGCCTTGTAAAAACACAGCCCTGTTTTGGCCTCTCTTCTTTTTAACATACACAATCAATTAAAGCCACCTCTAGCTTATATACAGTATAGCTACAACTTTTGCACATTTGAATTATATAAACTTGAAATAGTGGTATGATGAAATTTTAAAGTCTCATTTTAAGTGTAATACTTGAAATGTGAATTCTCAACACTTAAAAATATCCATCAAAAGTCATAATGGCAAGGCTAGTGAGCAATGACAATCCTAAGCCATATTTATTGTATTGCTACACTGATACAACACTTCAGTTGGTTCACAGAAGTACCTGCCCATTGTTCTCAGGATCAGTGTTGGATTTTGCATGTTTTGAATTATCCAAGATCTTCAAGAACATATTCCAATCATAAA